ATGGCAAATGGTGTGACTGTCCCTCTCCTGGGTCAATTTTCTTGCTCACTGTACTTTGACCTCTGACCCCATCCTGTACCCATGCGCATCAGGCCCTAGATAGCAGCTTTCAAGTTGGAACCTTAAAGGCTCCCTGGAGGTGTCCAAGAGCTTATAGAGACACTTGTTGTATCTACTCAATGACACCGTGGGGCCAGTCTAGGGACCAGGGCATCTGGGATCTGGCCCAGCTTTGCCAACGATCTGCTAGGTGCTCTCGGACTTCACTGTCCATCCCTGGATGTCACTTTATCACTTACATCTAGTTCAGTGAACACAGCCTGGAAGCCAAATCCAGCCCACCACATGCTTTTGCACATGAAGTTTTGCTGGAACACAGCTAGGTCCATTCATTTATCCACTGTCTGTGGCTGCTTTCACCGTACAAAGGCAGAGCTGAGTAATTGCAACACACGCTGTATGGTCTGCAAAGACTAAAATATTTCCTGCCTGGCCCTTTACATAAAATGTTTGTACTCGGTGTGCCTATTTAGTAAAAAAAAAAAATAAATAAAAAAAAAAATAAAATAAAATGTTTGCCTTACCTACAAAATGAGGATAAACCAAATTCACATGTGCCGATATGCATTGTGTAAATCTCTACGGATAGGAAGACTATTGAACTTATCCCTGAAACTGGGGCCCATTGTGGAATGGATGCCCTTTAACAATTTCACCAAAAGAGGAGCAAACCAGGGCTGTCCCAGCAAACCAGGATGTAGAGCCACCTCTCTCCAGAATACTATCTCTACAGTGAGGTGGTCACGGGACAAAAGAGGTCCAAGGTCAAACTTAGAGGGAGATAGCAAATTAAACACCAAAAAACGGGGTTCTTTCTGACTCTTCAGAACCCACACTTGGATAACTGTGAGTATCCTAGGAAGGAAAACACCATGCCTTTTTTCCAGAATGTTGCAACCTTGTCAGCAGTCCCCAACCTTTTTGGCACCAGGGACCAGTTTCACCAAAGACAATTTTTCCACGCACTGAGGGTGGGAGGCAGGGAAGCAGAGCTCGGGTGGTGATGTTCAAGATGGTTTGCGGCTATAGCAGCTGTAAATACAGATGAAGCTTCCCTTGCTGGCCTGCCACTCACCTCCTGCTGTGCATCCTGGTTCCTAAGTTTCATGGAAGACAATTTCTCCAGGGATGGGGAGTAGGGGCAGAGCTCAGGTGGTGATTTGTAGCCCGGTTCCCAGCAGGCTGAGGACCAGTACCTGCAGCTGAGGGACCTTGATCACATCAGCCTTCACCACGAGCATCTCAGGGAATAAACGTTCCACAGCACACCCTCTATAAGTCGTGTTGTGGGGATTCCTCCCCCAATATGTACAGGTAAGATTGTCTCCCCTCATGCACACAATTGTGCTGACAGAGAATGTGGGGCGATCCTAAAACCCCAAAAGGTCTCAAGACAACGTACTTCACCGTAGTGTTTCGTAAAGTAATTTGTGGTCACTCCTGAACTGAGCTGAGCTGGCCTAACACAACTTACAGTCTTTCTTTATCACATTTTCTATGAATGTGTGTAAGTTTTGCTGAAGAAATATTAGTATGTTTGATTATGAGGTGCTGCCTGAGACCCTACTAGGGGTGTTATAAAATAGCCAGGATATGCATGTATGTTACCTGTTAAATTCCAAATATTCTGAATTTTGAAACATGTCGACACCATGGATGTCAGATAAAGGTTTGTGTTAAAACATTCTGCACAAAAGGGAAAGACACAGAAATAATGGGGCCAAAGGTATACGATTCATCTCAAAACACTGAGGATAAAACACATCACATTGTTAAATATTAAAAATCAAAGGACTCTCCTTTTAGCCACTTTTATTGATAGGTTCTTGTGTTCTAAAGAAGGGAGTGGGAGTGTGATCTGATATAAACTAAGGACAGACAGATTGACCCCCACAAGGCCGGGCTCTAGCCAACTCACCTCTGCATTACAGGTACCTGGCACCTGCCTGGCTTGCACAGGATGCTAAATGATGGATGAAAGGGGGAGAAGGTTGAGTGGCTGAGCAACGGTTTGTGAAAATGTTTGCATAACCATGCTATCATCCTCATCGAACATAAGATGCGTTCTTCCAAGGAATCGCTTTCTCTTTTTCTCTTTCCTTCTCTTTCTCACCTCCTCTTTTTTCTACTCTCTTCCTAACATTCCTTACTTCCTGCTCCTGCCTCCTGGCCACCTGACAGATGGGCAGAGGAGATGAGGATGACAGAACCAAAGGAAACAAGGTCACGAGCAGGACTATTTAGGTCCTTCTCCCAAGCTGTTTGCAGTTCTCCAAGGCCGTGGGGGTAACCTGTGCTATTTGGCTGTCCCTGCTACAAATACGCTGTCTCATTATCCACTCCTGTAAGTCTCCTGACAAAGAACTCCAAAATGTCAACCTTAAGAGAACCCTCAGACCCAGATCCAGGTCACAAGAGGCCACTGCCAGATTCCCCAGCAGTGCCGTGTGCCTGTCAGCAGGACCAGGGAGGCCGGGTCCCTTCTGAGAGCCCAGCTTTGGAGTCCCACCCTTCCTTGCCCCACCCAGGAGTTGCAGGCGTGGCCGAGCCTTTCAAGAACTCTCCTGGACGAAGCCGGGAGCCAAGTGGTAAGACTTCAATCTGTACTAATCCGACAGCCACCAGCTATTGAAATGGGGCTAGTGAGACTGGGAAACTGAAACTTTCATTGTATTTAACTTTCATTAGACTTTACATTCAAATTTTAAAATTGATACTTCAGTTATTGGAAAACTTTTAAGTATGTGTGGAACAACTTGTGTATATGAATCCACTTCTTCAGTTGCACGTTTTATGAAATCTGAATACAAATCAGTATTTGAAATATGAAAATGTAGCTTTGAAATTGAGACTTGCTGTAAATGTAAAATATACACTGGATCGTGGAGTCTTATAAGGAAAGGATGGAAAATATCTCACAACATGATTACACATTGAAGTGATAGTATTTTGGACATATTGGGTTAAATAAAGTATGCTAGTAAAATTAATTCCACTGGTGTCTCTTTACTTTTTTAATATGGCTACTAGAAATGTACAGATCACACATGTGGCTCCTATTATACTTCTATTGGATTTTACTAGATTAGGCTGTGAAATCCAACAAAATGGGCACAAGATAAGGCTCTATATCCATGTGAAGCTGGGTTACCTACCTAAGCCTTAGTTTCACCATCTGTAAAATGGGTATAATAGCACCTGCCTCAAAGGTTTACTTTGAAGATTAAACAAGTTAATGTATGTAAAATATTTTGTGCTATGCCTGGAACATAATAAACACTCAACAAATGGTAGACGTCATTATCACTGTCATCTATCATCACTACCACTACCATTATCATAATCTCTTCCCTATTTCTAAAAGGAATTTCAGGGAATCTATAACAAGGGACAGGAAAATTACTCTAAAAAGAAATCACAAGCCGTTGCGGATAAAAGGAAATATTTATGGCAAAAATGCAGGCAAAGTATCGAGGGTAATTGAGTATTAAATTCTGATTTCCAGTTCCCAAAGCAAAGGGGAAATAAAGCTTGAATTGTCTCATTAAGGTAAACCCAACAAGCGATCTCATGGATAAATATATTCCTAACACTAAAATCTGAAAGACTGTCGCACAATGTTGAACTAGAAGGTACCTAAGAAGCCCCCAGCCACTCATGTTGCCATCCTTAAGTCCATCTTCTGTGTCGGACACTAGAGAAATTTCTCCAAAATACAGACCTGACAACATCACTTTCTAACTCAAAGGCTTTCAACAGCGTGAGCAGGGATTAACTGCAAATGGACGCAAGGGATTATCGGGATGATGAAAACGTTCTAAAACTGGTTTATGCTGCCAGTTGCACAACTCAGCAGGTTTCCTGAAAATCATCGGATTGCATACTTCAAACAAGTGGATTCTATGATGTATAAATTTCATCTTCATAATACCATTGTTAAAAAAAAAAATGAGAAAGGAAAAACTTCCAATAGTCCCAGGCCAAGATGAGCTGGAACAGTGTTCCTCAAAGCATGCTCCGTGAATTGGAGCCGGTCTGTTCACTGTGCTTATCAGTCCACAAGGAAAAAAGAGAGAGAGGTGTTCAGAAACGGGTACAGCAATTTGGCATTGCCATGACATTTTTTATTGTGGTTTATGAGAATACTGCTCAACACTGGGCTGGGAGGGAAAGGGGCCCTTCACCACAGGTAGTCTGAGCAGTGGTGCTCTAGACTAGAGCATAAATTCTACCTCGTTAGCCTGACATCCAAAGCTCCCATGACCTACTGGCCCCTACAGGCTTATCGTCCTATATATCTCTTTTGCAGTGAACCCTTAAACAGCGTGACGTTTCCAAACTCTGCCATAATCTGTCACTCGCTCCTCTAGCCCATTATAAACAGTCCCTGACAACTCAAATGCCATTCCCTATCGTTTCCAATGTATTTTTTTTCCCAATGTATTTGCATTCATCCTTCAAGACTCAGCCTAGCTGTCATCTCCTCTTAGAAGCCATCCTAATTGCCTTCCCCACGAAACACCACCCCTCTTCCCCAGGGTGATCACTGACTAGTTATCTCATCTCTCTGAACCTCAATCTTTTCAACTGTAAAACAGGGAAGCCCCATCAGCTGGTTGTAAGCATTGAGTTTCATAAAAAGGAACCAACGTCTTTGTTCCTCCAGCATCCCGGGAAGCCACTGTCATCCTGCTGGACTGTCACTGTGTATTTACACACGAGTCTCTTCCTACAGTTGATGATCTCCAGGGATGCAGGGGCTACACTGCATCACCTCCACATCCACAGGGCCTGGCTAGGAGGAGAAGCCCCGCAGATGTGAGCTGAGTGAGGCAGTGAATAAGTGAAGTCCTTTCTAGACCTAGCAACTGTAGAGAGGACAAGAGGTGTACAGATTTATTACTGATGTTTTAAAACCAAACTGTGGCAAAATGTCATACCTGATAGAAATGTGGCCAGAAGGTGCTGATGGCGAGCTCTGCCTTCACCCATCCCTCGGTGACGACCCCAGACACATTCCAGACGGGGTTCCCCTGGGGCCCGCCGTTCACCTTCACGTACACGTTCAAGGCCCCTGGGCTGGACCTGTCGCGGCTGGAGAAGTAGTAATGGAAATCGATGCAGTGGGTGTCGTTCTCCTTCAGGGTCGGCAAGAGAAGGTGGGCCTTCTGGCCAGAGGCTCTCCCAGAGCTGTTCACCATCATGAAGGATCCTGGAGACCCCAAAAGGGGATGGGGAAATAGAGACAAGAAGAGAGAATGAAAAATCAGTCATGTCCATAAATATGATGGCCAGAGGAGTCACCAGAGAAACCAAAGCGTTCTAGGAGGGTCTGTTTGACCCTGAGGAAGCCACATCTCCTCTCTGAGCCTGACCATCCTCTCCTGCAGTTGGGAATAAAAATCCCTACTCAACAAGGCGGCTTTAAGAATTAAGAGCTGGTTACACGTATGAAGTATTTTTACAAGGTAAACAGTCTATAAACATCTGCAGAAGAAACATTACATCCAAAACCTCCTGAAGGAAGCATGGAATAAAATCCCAGGAATTTAGTTACCTGCCACTTCAGCAGGTGAAATGAGTTGGAATAGAACCTCATGCAAGCTCGCATTGTTTCAAGGGACACAGAACCTCTACAATACAAGAATTCCATTGCTCCGACATATCCCACCTGGAGTCTTGCACTCGGTACAGGGAACTACCTATTAAAGGAGAATACATAAAGGTAGAGTATATTCAACAAGCAAGGAAGACCCTGAAGTGTAAGGAAGAAGTGTAAGAACCCACTGGAAGATGTTCAGGTGGAATGGAAGATAAGTTATACTTGTTAAGCACTTGCAGAGTACCAGTGTTGATGTTGGGTGTCATATATTGTTCAATTTGACCTTCTGATTGACCCTGAATGATCGAGCATTTTCATTGTACTTAAAGAATGAGTGACTTGATCTGGGCCACTCGGAGAGAGAGGGAGGGACCCACGTTCTCTCCAACTTCGATGTTTATGCTATTACTACTACTTGCAGAAAACAGCTACTATTCCAAGTATAAACAAACGGCTGGCACATAGGAAGGAAGCGAGCCTCTTGTGAGTTGCTTTGACAGATTAAATGGTTGTTCCCTGTTCACTGTCCCTCCCTGGATCCATGTCCTTTGCCATTGGCTTTGCAGTTTCTCCCAGTAGAAGCAGAGGGTGTGTCCCCTCCCCTGACTTTGGGCTCCACCATATGACTTGCTTTGGTCAACAGGATGCTAACAGAATGATTCAAGCGAAGGTTAAAGTGTGCTTTTCTAGCTGGGTTTGCCCTGTTGCACTACTGCTACCTTTGAAGAGAAGAACGTGCCCCAGGTAGCTGCTGCTCCTTTCAGCTTGGGATCAAGAATAAACACACAAAGAGGAGACCTGGCCTCAACCAACTGTGAAGAACTAGGCCCTGCCACCCCTGCTGCTAGAAGTACAGCCACACGGCCAATAAGCCCAATCTAGATCAGCCAATCCACGCTCAGTGCACAGTTCCATGAGCACAGGAATAAATGCTTATAGTTGTTTGTCACTGAATTTCATCTTGGTTTCTTACGCAGCCTTATTGTGGCAACAGATAATTGATACAGCCCCCCCAAGAGGGCAGGCGCATGAAAGAAACCACAAGGAGGTGCATTTCAGTTCAACGCACAAAGGATTTTTTGACAAGCAAAGCTGGTGCGAAATGGGACCGACTGGCTAGAGGCAAAGTGAGTTCCCCACTGATGCAGGTGGCCGAGTAAATAGAGCCTGGACAAACTGAAGAGATGTCTAAGGAAATTTCACAATCAACTGGTAGGGCTGTCTAACTATATCATAAAACATGGCAGAGAAACTCAGGTGATTTGGGGATGACTATTTCCACCTAGACACCACTGTTGTTTTGAAATCTTACTTTAACCACTAAAATCTTCAATTCAGGATAAAACCTTAAGACTACTTATCCTCAGCCAAGATGAGCCACTTCAATAGCAATAAGTCGCCTCGTCCCTTCACCCTAATACCAAAAAGAATAACGGCTTCCAGTTAATAAGTGCTAGGCAATCCGTGTCTTGTTGGGGTTCTAGAGAGTACCAGTCAAACTCTGTCTCCTCTGGGTTCTGAATGAATTTAAAAACGGACACAGGAGAGAGAGAGAGAGAGAGAGTTCAAAACCTCTACTTTATTACTTAAGAAATAACTTGGACTCGAGGCTGAATTAGACTTTCTGCATTTTCTTCCCAGAAGCAGCAGGCACAGCAGCTGGATAACAATGGAGTCCCCAAACACCTCCCGACTCTGCCCATATCCCTAGGGCAAGACCGCCCTAGTGGGAGGACCTGTTAGGGGAGTTGGGTGGACTCATACCCAAAGCCAACAAGGAGCAAAGTGACAAGCACAGAGAAACCTGAACCAATGGCCATCAGATTTTTGCCATACTACCATTCAGAAAACCCACCCACCCCTGAGGGTGGGAGCTGCTGGAAGTGGAGCAGAAGTGGTACTTTCACCACCGTTTCCACGTGAGCAAAGTTTCCTAGTTCCTACTGGCCTGGCAGTAACACATGGTAGGTGGAGAGATGTCTCCATGACAGAGATGTCATCTAATTGTCATGAAGCAGCAAGGAGGGAACCATTGCAAAGGGAGAAACCGAGGCTCAGAGGTAAGACTTAGCCTGCATTCATGCCACAGCTGTGTGCTGCCTACCTCCCACAGGGTTCCAGAAGGTTTCCCTAGACAGGTAAGTAATGACCCAAAAGCCCCACGATGGGTGTGGGACTGCCCCTGCCCCGGATAAGTGGCACAGCTCCCAGCAGGGGAGGCAGCCTGGGAAGCAAGGTGTGTCTGGCTCTCTCCACTCCGGGTCCCATGACGCTTGCACATGCATTTCAGCTCCTGTCCTGCTGCCAGCGCACACCAGGTGCACGTGCATCTCAGCTTCTTACAATCCACAGCCGAGAGGTTTGGAAAGGTTTTCCTTCTACCAGCTCGTGTTCCCATTTCTTTTCATCCTAGCGTCAGCAGCAGGGCAGGCTTACTGAGGAGGTGGACTTCACCCTGCTCCATGGGGTTTCGTGACAACCAGGTAACATCGCTGTGGGCGCACACCTGGACTACATTCCTCAGCTTCCCTTTAGTCTTTGGTGGGGCCATGCCACTGAGTTCTAGCCAATGGGTGTGTGCATGATGTGTGCCACTTCTAGGACTAGTCCATAACAGCCCCCTCCGTCTCACCCCCACACCTCCATCCTCCATCATCTTGTCTCTTGGAGGAAGGCCCATTGGCCAGAAGCCTCAGCATCACCTGGGAGCTTGTCAGAAACGAGAACCTCAGACTCACCCACCCCAGGCCTCTTGAATATGAATCTGTATGTTATCACGGTCCCCAGGTGATCTGCATACATATTAAGGTGTGAGAACCACTGGTCCATTCTTTTGTTCCCATCTACCAGCTGAACATTCAGGATTTCAAGGGCCCCGGGGGAAGGCAGAGCCATGATAAATGCAGGTGGCTTCCCTGATCACACGGAAGGCCACCCACCTCTCAGGAACATTCATTTTGGACTTTACATAAAGAATGAATACACTGTTATTGGGCTATTAAGCCACTGAAATTTTGAAGTTTAACGATCTCCACAGCTGGCATTATTATTATTATTTTGGTACTCCCAGTAGGGCCCCTACTTCTTACAAGCTGCTTTATTCAAAGGGATAAGATACCCTTTGAAATGATATCTCTTAAGCAAAGTTGCAAGACGTTCTACATTGGGACGTCAGTAAGAGCAGTAACCCTGGGTAGTAACTGGGAGGCATTTGAAATAGAGAGAGACCAGCATGTGCAAAGGCGCGAAGCACCCAGCGATGCAAGGTAGTGTCTTAGGGGAGGGGGGATCGGGCCATCTCTCTCCCCTGCCACATCTAGCCCACCTTACAGAGGTCTGGCCCCCAGAAGGGAGGGAAGCTGCAACTCTGCGTTGTGCATGGGCCTGCCACTAAAGACTGTTCAGGATTGAAATCCCTTGCACATCAGCAGCTCAGTGAGGCCCTCTTTGATCAACAGGTTGGCATAATTAATATCATCTGGGGCTGTCAGTTTCCTGGAGATCAAAAATGAGCCGGTCATTACGCCAAGATCAGTCAGAAACAAGAAAGAGAAAGACTGTAAATACATTCTCTTCCCTTCTCCCTTAAAAAAAAAAAAAAATCCACTAACGTGATAAGGAACATAAAACAGCATTAGTTTCCTCATAGTTATTATACATAGCACCGAAAACTGTGGAATTAAACCAGGAAGTACTCTCTGGCTGGCCATAAATTTTGCATTTTTCCCCTTCGTGCATAATAATGCCTCGGTAAGCGCCCCGTTATTGATGTGTCTGCAACACAGATCCCCTTTTTGGAGGCAAAACACTTCTCCGTAGCAGATGGCGGCTATTGTGTTTACACATGAGCACCTCAGGATTGCATTTCCTCACGTCGGCAGTAAAAAGGAAGTCCTAATTGAGTTTTTAATGGCTTTGCACATTGTTCATTAAGATTACATGAGTATGCTCGGGCGACTGGCAGCTGAGGGCCTCGAGCTCCAAGAGCTCAGTGCCGTCCCTGCAGACAGGTGGCCCTGCCAGCTCCCAGCGCCAGCACCTACGTGAAAGGAAAGGAAGGCGGCCAGGCCCCAAGTGCTGCTCAAAGCCAGGCAGCTGCGGTGCCGTGGAATGGAGCCTGGGTCTTCAGTCAAGAAAACTGGGTTTCTGGCCCATTTCTGCCGTTTCTTAGTTGTGAGCAAGTCAATACAACTCCCGGGGCCTCAATGTCCTCATCTGTAAAATGGAACAATAAAACCTACACATCAAAGGGTTTTTGTTTCTCTGTTTTCAAGCGAATATTAAAGGGAAAATAGTACTAGAATCCATAGATGTTAATTTCATAATAGCCAGCAGTGAATGACAGGGGGAAATGTAATTTATAACAGCTCATGATTATTAAGAACTTACTACTTGCCAGGCATTGACCTAAGCATCATTTAGCATCCCAATGAGGTAGTGCCAGGTTATCCCTGTTTTAAAACAAGAAATACAGAGAACAGAGAGGTGAAGTTATTCACCCAAAGCCACACAGCCAGAAGGTGGTACATGCTCAAATCAGTTATTCTTGCTCAGGAACCAGAGACTTCAGGGTTTAGAAATGAACTCTCCAAACCAGCAGCAATAGCAAC